CTAGAAAAAAAAGAGTATAATCAGTAGGCCATGTAACGAGTAAAATTCAAATGATTGAATTACGTGTTTAAAAAAAGAAAAGAAAATTAACCTCAAATTTGGCAAAATGTGTGTACAGTCGTAAAAAACATTCAGTAAAAATCCTCCCAAAGCCCTCCACGATGAATTTTAATACTAGAACTACCAAAGTGGTTAAAATGCCCAATTTCTAATTTTCCATGGAAATTTTATATACTTATAACAGCATATTTTTTGATACTCGTATATTTTGTAGATTTTACATACTTGATATTAACAAAATATATTAATAGAGACCTGTCCTCTTTATTGTATTATTAATTTCTTGTATTTTGCACTTCAATTTCTTTTCTACAAATATTATACTTTAGTCGTCGGTAGTTTTATCGTTGATCACGTGCACGCAGATGCAAGAAGAGAGCACCTAAAAGGAATTGATTAGATACCTACTGGCTGAAAGTATGACATAACTAAACAAATCCACGTGAAGAGAACTACTTGTCTTCTTGGGTGCTATTTTTCCATCTCTGCATTACACACATACGCACACGTGATAAGGAACACTATTCAACGTTCGCGAATCTCTCTTTCGGAGGAGGTAGAAATAAAATAGAGAAGAAAGACAAAAAGAGGAAACAGAAAGAAAGATGAACACGGCACCATAGGTACAGCGATGGCGAAGCAACAATGAACGACTCGACGCTTTCCACCTCGAGTCACGGAGCTCGACTATCCGAAAATTCAAATACAGATACCTCTGTGATATCGTTCTTACTTCCTTACTTGTTCAATACCTTTTAATAGTCGAGTCTGAACTGCTTCTAGCAATTGAAGAACCACACGCCATTGTTCATTTTTACAATTGTGAATGTCTTACAATGTTTATTAACACGTCGACTGCCATCTGTTGGTCACTTGTGTTATTGGAGATTGTTTCCTCGATAGGGCCACAGAGTTATCAGTAACTGGTAACCTGCTTCAAATAAATTTCGAATAAGTAAAATAAAATGAACATTGTCAATTAGAAAACTTCGAATAGTCAATCAGACAACATTATGAAATAAAAAATACACTGTTCGACAATTACAGATTTTGATTAAAACATCTAATATATATATTGTATTGTTATTTTGTCTTTTACTCGTTATATGATTGGAGTAATGAAAATTTTCTTACAAGGGGCCTTACGTGACAATCAACGTGTCAATAATAATTGTTTTGTTCAATTCGTCTAGAATTGATTAAGGGACGGTGGGAAAACGAACAACGATTCTCTAATTGCTTCGTCTTCGTTCTATACTCTTTCGTCCGCTATACTTCTCGTCCTCTTCTCTATAGTCTTTTTTTGTTCTTTTTCTTTTCTTTGGTTGTTGTTGTTGTAAGTACTTTAAATCTATCGCGCGCAACCACGAGCTTCTAGCTGAAATTTCCTAAAGATGCGTGTAAACCTACAATTACTGTGTCTGTGTCTGTGTGTGTATGTGTTGTGTGTGTGTGTTTACTTTTTACGTGTCGGAACACGCGAGTATTGCGGATTTCTTTTTTTTTAGTTTTTCAATCGCTCGTTTGAACGTTTCGATGTCTCGAAGAAGCCGTCGCAAGCAGTATATAATTCGATATACTTTTCTCGTGTATTTTTTTTCTTTTTTTTTTTCTTTGGTTTGCTGTTTTGCTTTTTAATCATTCACGGCGTTCGGCCATGCAAAAATATGCCGTATGTTGTTTATTTATAATAGCGAGACCGTTTCGCCGGCACGTCCCCTCTCTTATACTTTCTCAACCTTTGTTCATTCATCTCTTTGGTTTTTTTTTTTTTTCGTATTAAATTTGACTGACGACCCGCGACATTCTTAAATCTGAGAAGTCGGTAGTTTTTCCCTTTTTTTTTCTTTCTTTTTTTCTTCCATGTCGGGTTCGTTCTTCGCGCGTACCGACGAACCGCTCGCTGAAGACCAGACGCGAAGCGATTAGCGAAAATGTCCATTAAAACGCGATGAAATAATTTCACAGGTAGCTTTTATCCGGTACACACTCGGTTTCGTTGAAATAGAGTCCGCTGAAATAGCCATCCGCCTGTTCCTCGGCAAAAAATCGCAAATCCTAAAACCTATGTATTCTCGTGTAACCTGTATATTCTTCTTTCTTCAAGAGTCAAGGGTCGTCACACTTTCAAAACAGCTACTTGTTTCCCCCTGTCCACCGTTCGGAACTGGATCGACAGCCCCGATATTATATCATTCCATCCAATCGTACAAAACAACATCTCGAATATCACCAGTCCAACGCCGCCGTATCTTACTAAACCTAACCTTAAAAAAAAGAAAAAGGCTACTCCAGAGTACGACAACTCGTTCCAACGATTCTCGCGAGTCAGAGAATCAGAGACTCAGAAGATCAACCTGGAGACGATTGCCCGGAACCTCAAGAACTTTCACAAGTACTCCCTAGGCCTGGGCGGAGGCCTCTTCCTGTCGGACCTGTCGCTTCGATCGGCCGCGGTGGCGCTCGGCTCTCTGTCGTCCGTGCACTCGAGCATCTGCGTGGTCTCGGTCGCCTCCGAGGGGCTGATCGGTTGGCTAGCTAACGGCGCCAATGGCGCGGCTCCCTTGTTCCTCGATTTGCTTCTTCTCTTTCTCAGAATCAGCGGCCCAAGGGGCGTGCTGTCGTCTACCCTGGAAGTGGACGCCTGGGCCAGCCTCTCCAACAACTCTTTGCTCACTTCCCTCGAGGAAGCCTTGTAGTCACTACTGTCCTTCAGTCTGTCGGACTGCTGCGACTGATGATGATGATGGTGATGATGATGGTGTTGTTCCTGGGACTTGGAGCTCCTCTCCGTGGTCGTGCTTTGCTCCCTGTAGCCTTCAGTCGTCGACGTAGTCGCTATGCAGACCTTCTGCTCCGTGTTTCCTCCAGGCGTCTGCGTGGTCTGGCAACCCTGCTGACCACCGGAGCCTGCCTGTGGCTGGATGGTCGACTGATTCTGCGAGGAGGAGCCACCATTGCCACCCGTCGAGAAGCTGTTCGTGCCCTTCTGTTGCGGCGTGCTAGCCGTAGGAAGCCTGTTCATCAACGTTTGCAGCATATCCTCGATCTTCGCCAATCTCTGGTTGACCCGCTGCACTTCCAGCTTCAAGTCCACCTTCACCTCGAGCACCGCGGCCAGTATCTCGCGGTCGTGGCTCGGCTGGCTGGTGATCAATCCATCGTCGTAACTCTCTAGTCGACGAAGCTGCAGCTGCTTCGAATCTGCCACCACCGTCTGCTGCTGCTGCTGCTGTTGCGCATCCTTCGCGTTCTCAGCGTCGCCCGATTCCTCGATCGTGCCTGTCAGCTTGCCAAACTTTGGGAACACTTTGTTGCTGCTGGCGCTGGAGCTCGGCCGGGCGTCTCTCGCGCTCAGGGATCGTTTGAACGTGTCCACTCCGGTCCCCGTCTCGCTTCCGGAGTCTAGACTCGAGCTTCCTGAACAGTTCATAGAGAAGTTAATTCGCATTGATTTCTATATCTGGACAAGCATTCCACGAGTATTTGAAATAATCTCCTTCAGATCAAACTTGTTACAACTATTGTATTCGTAGTGTTACTTGTATATATTTTAAGTATTACATATAGTGTAGTAGAAGTGACAATGTTAATACCAATATAATTATATATATATATATATATATATATACTATATAATATACATATTTTATTTTATTTAATTATGGTATATTAGTATATAATTGGTAATTATAATATATAAGTTATAATATATATTAATATATAATTAGTAATTATTAATATATATGGTATTATATATGACATTATTATATATGACATTTTATTATATATAACATTATATATAACATTATTATATATGACATTATTATATATAATTATGTGTATTATATATAATTATTATTATATATAATTATGGTATTATATATTATTAATATATATAATTTTAATTTAATTATATATATATAATTGGTATTATTAGTATTTCATTATATTAGTAACTAGTTGTTGGTATATATTATATTGATACTAATCAATTATAATTAGTACTAATATATAGTTCTAATATAATTATTAGTATTAGTACTAATATAAGTATTAATACAAATATGATTATATTAGTAATATGTACATATTACTAATGCATTATTAGTTTTACTATTAATATATATATATATATATATATATATATATATATATATATAT